ATATTATAGACATATATACACATACACATAGAATGTACACCGATGGAATTCTGTATGTTTATCAATAAGTCCGTAGCCTGAAACAGTTATTAGTTCCATTTCATACTGAAGTTGTTCTTTGTATACGGAAAATTCATGACTGGATTAAGTGCATTAACAAGGAAGGAGATTATTTTCATGACCTGCCTGAATAATATTTTGATGCGCTGCCCATAATTTAGGGAGATTTTTAAGTGCACAAGAGTACTGAATGTAGTACGAAATTTTGCCGCAGCTCTTTGTGAGCAGTACTTTCTCTGAGACGATAGATATTCCGTGTAGTGGGAAATATTCTAATCGTCAAATTCACAGGAATTTTAGATGGAACTTCTAATAATATATTTACTAACACACACACACACATTCATATATATATATATATATATATATATATATATATATATATATATCAGTGGCAACTCAAGGTCATCAGTGTTTGTCGAGCTCATCACAATCTTTAACAAAATATACTATAGGTATTTCCAAAAAACGTTTACAGATATATAAGAAAAATAGCGTGTGTATGTATCTCGAGTGTGTATTTGTATATATATGTCTATGCGTTACTGTGCCTCTCCGTCAGAATTTTATTGTGCATCTATGATCACTACTGCTGACTGATAGCGTGTTTCCTCAACACTACTCCAATCATACTCCTCACCCCAACCCTCCAATCGACAAGTTAAGGCTGCCACTTTTCCTTCATATTCGCCGACTTGAAGTCGGGATGAATTTCATTGATGCTACTTTTGAATTGATACATTCTGCTAAAATTCCTTATACTGTAGGGAATAAATTATTTAAAATGGACATTTGAAAACAATAAATTGAAATAAAAATATGTTCTTTGAAAAACAGGGTATATAAGTCATTAGAGATTTTTAAATGATTATTTATGAAATTAAAGCAAGAAATAAATTGCCTATTAAGTAAGTCTCCAGCTCAGATAGGACCCAGACATACGCAGTCATTTCATTCTTTTTTATTTACTTTCTTTCTTCTTTCTTTGTTCTTTATTATGAACAATATCAACGTAATGTATTTCGGTGAATGTTTTGAGGCTCGGAGTTAAAACAATTAATTTTATATACAGCCGAAGTCAAGAATGAAAACGACGTACTACTAAAGATTCTTGATGATTTGAAATAGATATAATTGAATGTTGATTCACTCGGGTAAAGCCCGACAAGCCCGACCCTCGGAGTAGCCACTGACATATGAAAGTGGACACTGCAGTTAACACCCAGTGGCAACAGTTTGTTTTATGCTTAAACGCATTCTTCATCTGAGTTGTCGTTGGCTGTTGAACACAAGGTCTGCTTACGTTCTTTCCGTGGTATTGAACACTTAAACCAATAAATATATAGCATACATTAAAACTATATTTGTATCATATATATATATATATATGTGTGTGTGTGTGTGTGTGTGTGTGTGTGTGTGTGTGTCTGATTGAATAAATTGCAAAAATTATGTCTGCTTATTTTTATCATAATCCTTTCATATTCACAAATATTTTTTCCATATATTACAATTAAATAAGGCAAGAAATGCACTGTAACAGTGAGAATTACTTTTATTTCCCTAAGTACTTTCCATTTCTTTCTAAGATCATCATCAGAGGTGCGTCTGGTAAGATAAAAACTATGTGTAGCTATCAAATACTGATTTTTTTTCTTTCTTTTGTGTTTAAATGCAATGGCTGATAGTTATACTCCAGTATTCATTAGAACTTGAAAAGTTATCCATTATGGAATTTTTTTCTTTTATGTTGGAATGTCATAGTTGAGTGTGCATTAAAACGTGAAAACTGTTCTTTTCATAGGCATTTTAGAACATTATTAAAATATTTGTAGCTGATTCTATTCAGTGTCAGCTTCAATTTTGTTAATGAAGATTGCTTCGAGGATCTGTAGTTTGAATTTGTTATTTTCATGGTGTTGGATGGTTGTGTTATCAATCAGTAATTTTTTATACTGTGAATGTGGACAGGAATATTGGTGTAAATGTCTTGCAATGGACAAATGGTTCGACATGTGCAAAGTAAGATGTCTTGAGAATGTAGTTATCATATATTTTTATAGGCATTTTAGAACATTATTAAAGTATTTGTAGCTGATTCTATTCAGTGTCAGCTTCAAATTTTGCTGTAATTGTTTAATTGTTTCGAGGAGCTGTAATGAACGCTATTGAGATTTCAATAAATTGTCTACTCATCAGCTTTTTACTAACGCCTGTGAGAGTTGACCGATTAAATAGGTCAATGTCTGATCCTTACACTCTCCTCCTCAATATTAAGTAATATAATAAAAAGAAATATAAAAATAAATTGTAAAACACTTCCTCCCTCTCTAAACTCGGATGTCACTCATACCATTCCTCACCACCCTCTATGTCACCTTATACAAGTTTAATACTGCCCTTCGGAAGTGTAAATTTTAAATTCATTTTTTCTTTTCACCTTTGAAAGTGAAGTCTGTAGATCCAGACAAAAATAAAATTCTCTGATGAAATAAATTATAACTAATGGAGCCTTAAAGTGGTCTGTTTTTCTTTAAGTTAAATTATTCGTTCTGACTTAACATTGAGCTCTCAGGATTTCATCCTCCTTGGCATTATCCATACGGATTACCAAGATTTTCGTTACTTAACTTCATATATATATATATATATATATATATATATATATATATATATATATATAAAAGAAAGAACAGTAAGATATATAATCCGGTGTTCTTATAGATATTTTTATTTTTACAAAATAGTGCTAAAATTAAATTAAATTCGTAGCTTTTAGCTTCCATTTATGAAACATGGTTAGAACTGTGTAGCGAAAAAAAACATACTTTAAATAAATCAATATATATATATATATATATATATATATATATATATATATATATATCAAGTATAGGATTGGTGTATGCGGGATAAATTCTAATAAACAAAAAATACTTGTGATTTTATAATATATTTATATTATAATTTTAGAATAAATTATATATATATATATATATATATATATATATATATAATTTTAGAATAAATTATATATATATATATGTATATGTCTTGCGTATATGTGTGTGTGTGTGTGTGTGCGCGCGCACGTGCGGCATCAACACTGACCGGTAAGTGGTCAGGAGTGCCCAAGGGAGGTAACTCTTCTGTCGAACATTTTTTTCAGGGCTGGATGTGAGCAAGACTTGTTGTTTTTATGTCTTTTTTAATCAAATTCACTCCATTCAAGGCATTAAAAGCCACTAAAGATAAAAGGGATTGCAGTGAAAGAAGAAGAAAAAAGCGAAACATTAAAGAGTGAAAACAAGAAAAGATTAATCAGGAAGACAATAGATAACGACTGGCATTGCATTTAAATTTTTGAAGATCAAAGTCAACTGGAAAGCAAGAAGCCGAAGACTGTTCCACAAGCGAGAAGTGCGAGCAAAGTAACAGTTAGCATAGAACTTACCGTTACAGTTACAATTCAGTTGCACATTGCTGAGATGCTGTTGATAATCTAGTAGTACGCCTAAATTCATAAAGTCTGGGTATCATAGCGAAATTCATAAAATCTGGGTACCATAGCGAAATTCATAAAATCTGGGTACCATAGCGAATAGCATTATTTATTTGTATGAATACAAAATGTGGCACAAGGCCAAAAATGAGGAATAGGGAAAAGGATGGTTGTCTGACTTAACTAGACACAATCACTGACCCAAACACACCACAATATACCTTACCCCAAAACAACGCATTCTTACTTACAATTCTTACTACATCCACCATAATACCTCAGAATATCCATGAAATCCTAACTCGTTTCATATGTACAATTCATTATCTGTAGGGGGGGGGATAAAACAACAATTTAAAATCTAACCCTAATGTGTATTTACAAAATGCAAAACTATTTGCAAGAAAACAAGCAAAATAATATACCATCTCCATAGTGAAGAGTTCATCTCAACAATTACGATGAAAGAATTTATAGAAAAGGCACAGGGAAGCAACTTTAAGGTGGTGGGAAAGTGAATGAAGCCAAAACGCCAATAATATTTTTTGTGGTGTCCTCGCTCTAAAGTGTCTATGTTGGACTCTTCCGCCTACTATAAGATTAGTAAGAGAGAAGGTCTTGGCGGGGGGACAGTCGAATAGATTGAACGCTGGTCAACCGACACAAACTCACTAGTCGTGTAATACATTTCTGTTGTATTTACTGTTTAAGAAATAACAAAACAAATGTTACAGATATATCATATATTAAACAGTAAATACAACAGAAGAATATTACACGACTAGTGATTGTGTGTCTGTTGACCAGCGTTCAGTCTATTTCACCTTTATATTTACTAGCCTCAACACGAGATAGCATGTGGAACAAGGCCGAGTTTAATGTGGAGCAATCCGAGCCCGCAGGCTCGGCCAAAAATTCCCCATGAACCCCGTATAAAACGAGATCGAGTAGCTGTTTCCAGAGACGAGACTCTGCTTTTCGACATAGCCTCGTCTGGGGATCCTCTCTGCTCAGAGGCAGAAAGTTTGACAAGCACAGCTGGAACAGATTTATTCGACTGTCCCCACAAGGCCTTCTCTCCTACTAATCTTATAGTAGGCGGAAGAGTCCAACCTAGACTCTTTAGAGGGAGGACACCACAACAATATTACTGATTCTTCTTTGGATTTTATCAGGAATCTCTAAATATATACCAAGGACACCGGACATAATGTGGTAAGAATATTTTAAGCCTGAGCTAATGGTAGACTATGTATGATAGGTTCTGTAGAGAAAATTTCTTTAGTACGACACAGTGAACTAACTTTCTTAGCAGCAGACCTAGCAGTAGGATTTAATAGAATCTTCCCACTTCGTCAGCCGGAAACGTTAACCCGAGAAAGCTCAATGTGTCACTCTTCTGGAGGTTTGTATCAGCAAATGTATGAACTAAGAGAGATTAATATGAAGAGATTGAGATAGATAGATAGATAGATAGATAGATAGATAGATAGATAGATAGATAGATAGATAGATGAATTAACTGAGATAGACATGTTAATAGATTAATAGATAGATATGAACTGACAGAGATTAATATGAACAGACTGAAATACATAGATAGATAGATAGATAGATAGATAGATAGATATGAACAAGCCGATAGATAGATAGATAGATAGATAGATAGATAGATAGATAGATAGATAGATATGAACTGACAGAGATTAATATGAACAGACTGAGATAGATAGATAGATAGATAGATAGATAGATAGATAGATAGATAGATAGATAGATGAATTGACTGAGATAGGCTGATAGATTGATAGATATGAACTGACAGAGATTAATATGAACTGACAGAGATTAATATGAACAGACTGAGATAGATAGATAGATAGATAGATAGATAGATATGATCAGACAGAAATAGATAGATAAATATGAACAGACTGAGATAGATAATAATAGCTGGTCACTCGTATTCGAGGATACCTGTCTACTTGGGCGGCTAGCCAATCCCTATTCTAGCTTCTGTTTGTTCAACACCCACAGAGCCAACCTGTGGTTTATACTGCAACTATGCTGAGTAGACCTTAGTTACAGTATCAGGGAGAGAGTGTGTTATCTGGCGTGATCAACAATTTGAACAAGGCCAGCACGCTTCTGATTAGATAGATAGATAGATAGATAGATAGATAGATAGATAGATATCAGGTCATCCCATAAGTTCTGTCCGAATTTTGAATAAAGAAAACAAGTGACCAAATGTTACATTTAATTACAGATTCAATCAACAATATATTTTCCCTGATTATCTATGACTTCCTTCCATCTATTAACAAGCTTACTAATTCCATTACTCTAAAATTATTTTGGCTTTGATTCGAAGAACTCACAAATGTCAGTTTTAACCTCTTCCTGTGTTACAAAAGCTGTTTCTTCCAAATGATTCTGTAAGCTACGAAAATGGTAGTCTGAAGAAGCAAGATCGGGAGAATAAGGTGGATGAGGAATTTTCTCTCAACCAAGTTCTTCGATCTTTTGTGACGTGATTCTTGCTGTGGGGGTCGCGCATTGTTCTGATGAAACATCACCGCTTTTCGATTCACTAGAGCAGGTCTTTTTTCCTCAAAGCTTGATTCAAACGCTCTAATTGCATACAGTATATTTGAGCATTAACTTGTGCATTAGGTGGTAAGAATTCAAAGTGGATTATTCCTTGGCGATCCCACCAGATTGAAAGAAGAACCTTTTGCCCATGAAGTTCCCTTCTCGGCTGTTGCTGGGGTCCTTCCCTTTTACCAAGCCACTGTCTACGACGCTTAACATTTCGATAAAAGATCCATTTTTCGTCGCCAGTCACAAGTCTATCCAAAAAAGGTGAAACAAGTTGGCGAGAATGGAGAGAAGAGCAGATGTCAACTCAGGATTTGAGGTTGTTTTCAGACAATTCATGAGGCACCCATTTTCCAAGTTTAGGAACTTTTCCAAGTTGTTGAAGATGACGATGTACAGTTGTATGGTTTGAACTGAGAACCACTGCCAATTCCTCAACTGATAAAGCAGGATTTTCTTCAAGCGCTGATTCAAGAAGCTTTTCATCCAACTCAACTGGACGTCCGGTTCGATCTTCATCTTCAAGGGCGAAATCTCTACCTCTGAATTTTGCAAACCATCTTCTGCGAGTTCTTCCAATCCACACATTCCTCTCCATAAACTGAGTGAATGTTTCTAGCCGCTTCGACTGCTGAGTTTCCTTTCTTGAACTCATAAAGCATTATGTGCCTCAAATGATTCTTGGTTACTTCCATGTTAGCAGGGTTTTAATCAAACAAAATTTAATTTTATTGTTCTCTGAAATAAAATTTGATCAGTTTAAATGCATCTAAACATAAAAATAATGATCAGCTCCATTAGACATTATAAAATACTCTTTAAATTTCGTTCATTTTAACAAAAAGTTAAAATTTGGACAGAACTTATGGGATGACCTGATAGATAGATATGAACAAATTGAAATAGATAGATATGAACAAACTGAGATTGATATGGACAAACTGAGATAGATAGATAGATAGATAGATAGATAGATAGATAGATAGATAGATAGATAGATATAAAATGACTGAGATAGATAGATATGAACAGACTGATAGATAGATAGATAGATAGATAGATAGATAATGTACAGACCGAAATAGAAAAAGTCTTATTTTACAACTGAAAACCTCTTTATTTAAACCAGAACAAAACATCTTCCTTCATTTTGCGTCTATTTGTTTAACTTGTTCCCGAAACCACAAAGTTCTAACGATTAATAATCTGTAACAATAACTTATTTGTAAAAGAGTCGCCATCTTCTCGCTAACCAAATCTCGTCAGCGTCAGTGCAATAGAACAATCCAAATGGTGTCAATTAGGTGTTGTCTCTTACCGTGAAATAAGGCGCATCTCCCGAGTAAACACGAGATCAACTTATCATGGGCAACCGATCTACTTTGGGGAATTTCAAATTTATACCGTTCCGCTCCGGTTGGTTTGATTCAGACAGACATGCTTTTTAAGTCGCTAAAAACATCGTAAATCGTCGAGCTAAAAGGAACAACAATGAAACAAAACGTAAATTCAGCGTGGTCGGCTTCCGATAACCGGTAATAAATACATGGCCGTTTTTATTCTAACCGTGAATAAGGATCCCTTGTTGGCGGGAAGGCAGCTATGATGGTTGTGTGAATGGAGTTTTGTGTCCGTCAGGGGAGTTGTCGATAAACGGGGGCGTAAAACATTCAGACAATTTACAGTGATGATTTCGTCTTCGTCTTTTTTATTTTTCTTTCTTTCTTTTTTTTTTTTTTTTGTACCTCAGATAATTCTGCAAATCAATGACATGGAAATCATTGTCGGAAATAAACAAGGGGAATAACTCATCGGCCCTTCTCGATCTAACGTTTATCACTGACATGAAGTGGAAAGATCATATTGAATCAATTGCTAGGCCTGCTGCTAGGAAAGTTGGTTTACTCTGTCGTTCTAAACGACTATTCTTTCTAGAAACTCTCTTTCGGATTTATAAGTCTACCATTCATCTATGTATTGAATATTGTTGCCAAATCTGGCCAGGAGCTTCTGCTATGTATTTAGAAATTACTGTCAAAATCCAAAGAAGAATTTGCAATGTTATCGGTCACATTCTCCCCGCCATAAGCACGCATCTTTGTGCCTTTTTTTATATAGATATTTTTATGGTAATTGTCCTGATGAACTTCCGTCTTTGGTACATCAAATTTACGAATTTAAGCATATTACGAATTTAAACACGGTACTAGATTGGCAGTTAGGTCCCAACTTTTTAGTGTTGAGATTACTAGACGTACCATAAGATCTATGCTAACAGTCCACCTCTCGCTTGTGGAACTCTCTTCTTGCTTTTCTGTAAACTATGATTTTTTAAAATGCACATTCTATGCCAATCGTCGTTTCCTGTCTTTTGATGTTCTTTTATTGAGCTTTCTACTCAATAATGTTCTTTTCATATTCTTTCGTACTCAGTAACCTCTTGCGTCTTAGTGACTTTATCACCTTGCTTTATTTTTTTTTTTTAAGTCAGCGATAATTTTTCGGTATTTTTTTTTCTGGAACAACCTCTGTAAATAAACTGCTTAAAATTATTCAAACTATTATTCTCATTTTATCTGATATTTTTTTTTTGTTGTTGTTGTTTTTTTTGCTGGTGGGGGAGCCTCTGACATCTTGATCAATTCTCTAGCTATCTCGGGTTGTCGAATGTTCTACTAGGAAATACACGATATTTAGGACTGTATGCACACTTGTTTTTAACATGTTTCCAACCGAAATGTTCTTTAGCCTTGCTAATAGTGTCTGAAGCTCCCAGAAAAAGAATTGTAATTATTCTGTGATTATTCATACGAGCTTCCCCATCCTTATTCTCTTGATCAATGCTTCAGCCGATGTGTTCTTTCACCTTCTTCATACTGCCTAAGAAGTTTAAATAACTGGTCTACATCCGGCAGCAAGGCCTCGTATCGGGATGAGGTTTCGAGGAGCGTAATTGCTGTTTTTCCCAGGTCCACCCTGACCCAGGGTAGCCGCACTTCCAGTCATGGGCAAATAGTAAACCACAAACACTATGAAAGTATAAAAATACATTTTTATAGTAAAAAAAACATTATTATTTAAAAAATTACCAATGATATACAGAGTGTCCATAAAGTTCGGGTGCACTTTAAAAAATATATAACTTTATTTGTATTTGCGATAGAAATAATTTGTAAAAGAATTAGAAAGAAGTAAATCTATATTTTTTAAGGTTTTATTGAAATTTTATTTAAGTTTCCACATGTCCTCCATCATTAGCAATACAAAGGATAATACGATTTTGCAATTCACGGAAAACATTTGCCAACTGATTTACAGTAATGCCTGAAATCACGTTAGTTATTTTAACTACACTTAAAACTAGGTACGTTAAACTTTATAACATTTTTTACAGATTATTTCTATCGCAAATACAAATAAAGTTATACATTTTTTAAAGTGCACACGAACTTCATGGATACCCTGTATATCTACAGTAGAATTACCAACGATACATTTTTAAAGCAGAATTGATAATAATAAATTTTATAGCAAAATGACCAACAATACATTTTATCTGTAGTTGATCTGTGTTCAAAATATTTAGATTTCGGTATTAAATAACCCATAAAGGTCGATATGCTGCTAAACAAAATCAAAATTAAATTAAATAACTTGGAAGTGTTTTAACTATGGTCTGACATAGTAGGAGAAAGGTTTGGCTATGGGTTCGCCGTTATCACCAACGATAACGAACATTTATATGGAATACTTCGAAAAAATGGTTTTAGGAGTCGTGCCACTAGCGCCAATCGTAAAAATGAGATACGAGACCTTCGTCACAGGGAAGATGTGTAAATACTACTGGACAACTCAATAAAACCTCGATCCAGCTCACAATGGAAAAGGAAAGCAAAAATCAGCTGACCTTCTTGGATGTACAACTAACTTGGACAGAATATGTGTCCAAGATATCTGTATGACACAAACCAACCTTCACTGCACAATACCTTTACTTCAATTCCCATCATCCATATAGTGTAAAGAAAAATGATCGTTTGATACCTACTACACCATGAAAAAAAATCACAAATGTCGACCCAGACACACATAACAGATGATCACATCAAATGTACCCCACCCCGCTCAGAATAACAACTATCTTAAAAATATAACATTAATTCCTGCAAGCAGTGACGGGAGGGTAAGGGAAGATAATCGGAACATAACCACGTTCTTCTCACTTACATCAATTTGAAAACTGTTATGGGATCTTACCCATATAAATAATAATGGACTATACCATACTTAATAAATACTGCACCTCAGGAGTAGGCAGGGAGTCATTCGCTCACTTTCTGAGCGACTGCACGGTTCAACTCTCTTCCTACGGGCGAGAGGAACCCGAAGGAGGCTACGCCGAAGGGCGGAGTCTCCTTCGGGAGGTTCGCTCCGGCCCAGAACCCGTTTATAGGGTTCAAATGGGCTATTTTTGGCCGAGCCTAATGGCTCGGGAAATCCCACGTTAAAAAGGCCTTGTGCCACATGACACCCTCGTGGGGGGTGACTGAATATTGTCATTCGCTCACTTTCTGAGCGACTGTTCACGGTTCAACTCTCTTCCTACGGGCGAGAGGAACCCGAAGGAGGCTACGCCGAAGGGCGGAGTCTCCTTCGGGAGGTAAACCGGCCCAGAACCCGTTTATGCGGGTTCAAATGGGCTATTTTTGGCCGGGCCTAATGGCTCGGGAATACCCACGTTAAAAAGGCCTTGTGCCACATGACACCCTCGTGGGGGGTGACTGAATATTGTCATTCGCTCACTTTCTGAGCGACTGTTCGGTTCAACTCTCTTCCTACGGGCGAGAGGAACCCGAAGGAGGCTACGCCGAAGGGTGGAGTCTCCTTCGGAACCCGTTCATACGGGTTCCTATTTTTGGCCGAGCCCTAATGGCTCGGGAATTCCCACGTTAAAAGGCCTTGTGCCCATGACACCCTCGTGGGGGTGACTGAATATTGTCATTCGCTCACTTTCTGAGCGACTGTTCGGTTGACCTCTCTGTCTCCGGGCGGAGGAACCCGAAGGAGGCTACGCCGAAGGGCGGAGTCTCCTTCGGGGAGGTAAAACCGGCCCTGAACCCGTTTATACGGGTTCAAATGGGCTATTTTTTGGCCGCGCCTAATGGCTCGGAAAGCCCACGTTAAAAAGGCCTTGTGCCACATGACGCCCTCGTGGGGACGACTGAATATAGTCATTCGCTCACTTTCTGAGCGACTGTTCGGTTGACCTCTCTGTCTCCGGACGGAGAGGAACCCGAAGGAGGCTACGCCGAAGGGCGGAGTTTCTTTCGGGGAGGTAAAACCGGCCCTGAACCGGGTTCAAATGGGCATATTTTTAGCCTACGGGTTCGACCTTAATGGGAAACTAAATATTGTCATTCGCTCACGCGACTGTTCGGTTGACCTCTCTGTCTCCGGGAAAGGCCTACGTTAAAAGGGCCCAGAACCCGTTTATGCGGGTTCAAATGGGCTATGAGCCGCCCCCTTGTGGGGGACGACTAACTGAATATTGTCATTCGCTCACTTTCTGAGCGACTGTTCGGTTCAACTCTCTTCCTACGGGCGGAGAGGAACCCGAAGGAGGCTACGCCGAAAGGCGGAGTCTCCTTCGGGAGGTAAACCGGCCCAGAACCCGTTTATGCGGGTTCAAATGGGCTATTTTTGGCCGGGCCTAATGGCTCCAGGAAACCCACGTTAAAAAGGTTCACACCCTCGTGGGGGGTGACTGAATATTTCATTCGCTCACTTTCTGAGCGAGTTCAACTCTCTTCCCGGGCGAGAGGAACCCGAAGGAGGCTACGCCGATAAGTCTCCTTCAGGGGAATAAAAAAATCGGGTTCAAATGTATTTTTGGCCGGGCCTAATGGCTCGGGAATCCCCACGTTAAAAAGGCCTTGTGGAAACTAAATCGTGGGGGTGACTGAATTTGTCATTCGCTCACTTTCTGAGCGACTGTTCGGTTGACCTCTCTTCCGGACGGAGAGGAACCCGAAGGAGGCTACGCCGAAGGGCGGAGTCTCCTTCGGGGGGTAAACTCGGCCCAGAACCCGTTTATGCGGGTTCAAAATGGGCTATTTTTGGCCGAGCCTAATGGCTCGGGAATGCCCACGTTAAAAAGGCCTTGTGCCACATGACACCCTCGTGGGGGGTGACTGAATATTGTCATTCGCTCACTTTCTGAGCGACTGTTCGGTTCAACTCTCTTCCTACGGGCGAGAGGAACCCGAAGGAGGCTACGCCGAAGGGTGGAGTCTCCTTCGGGGAGGTTAAACCGGCCCAGAACCCGTTCATACGGG